TACAAAAGTGAATGAAAAAATAAATAAAACACCCAGAATAATGGACCTCTGCATGGTCTACGGTGGAAAGAAATGGAAGGCAAAAGGCGAACAGGACTTAAATCTGGCAAGGGTTTTAGGCTGGAGCCACCAGGAAGGAAAGAGAAGGCTTAAACATTGGCTGTATAAAAAGTACTAGCAACAAATCACATAAAAAGGTTTCAAAAAGCGAAACCATGTAGACCACACACACCCAAAAAAAATATACGGTATATGAGAGTGTTCATTAGCTAAATCAGCATTATAAGACATGATTGTGCGGTTAAAATGATACGCCAAAATTTATACATGCTCCAGTATGTGTCATAACCTGGTTTATAGATGTAGAGGATATAATAATAATAAATAAATGATGATGATGATGATGACTGGACAGCCATTTGTCTGAAATGGTGTAGGGTTTCCTGCCTGAGCAGGGGGTTGGACTAGATGACCTCCAAGGTCCCTTCCAGATTCTATTCTATTCTATTCTCTATTCTGTTCTATTCACTATTCTGTTCTATTCTATTCTAATTCTCTATTCTGTTCTATTCTCTATTTTGTTCTATTCTATTCTATAGGGCAGGACTATGCTGACTCAGGAATTCTGGGAGTTGAAGTCCACGAGTCATAAAAGAGTCAAGGTTGCCTACCCCTGGTACAGGGTTTCCTGCCTGAGCAGAAGATTGGACTAGATGACCTCCAAGGTCCCTTCCAACATTATCATTATCATCATCAATAATAATAATAATAATGTACACCATTCTGAGTTGTACAAATAAAGGTGGGATCTACGTCTAACAAAAGCAGGTAAATAAAGGCTAGCTGAGTAAACTATTAAGAAGGGGAGGAAAAAACAACAACCCCTTATCCAACTTCTTTGTCTCCTTCAGAAACCTCAGCCAAGCCTGTTATCAAAGGTGGAAGCGAAGAAAAAAAAATGGTTCACCGGTAAGGAGCTTAGGAAATGCTTTTGCTTTTTTTTTTTTTTTTTTGCGGAAACCAAACAAACAGGGCCTATTTGCCAGCAGCTATTTTAAGGTTCGGATGGAAAGCAAGGTGTCATTTCCTCCAGATAGCAAGTGAATTAAAACATTAACAACAAAAGCATTTTGGTTTGCGTTATTTAAACACCAAATCGAAGGACCAGTGGAAAAGTCACTCAACTGGAAGGACTGTCTCCTGTTTCTTACTCAGTGAATATTGAGCAAATACCTCTTGCAGCCTGAAGAGATAAGGAATTAGAGGAGAGGTCCCCAACCTTGGCCACTTTAAGACTTGTGGACTTCAACTCCCAGAATTCCTCAGCCAGCTTTGCAACCTTGGCCACTTTAAGACTTGTGGACTTCAACTCCCAGAATTCCTCAGCCAGCTTTGCAACCTTGGCCACTTTAAGACTTGTGGACTTCAACTCCCAGAATTCCTCAGCCAGCTTTGCAACCTTGCAACTTTAAGACTTGTGGACTTCAACTCCCAGAATTCCTCAGCCAGCTTTGCAACCTTGGCCACTTTAAGATTTGTGGACTTCAACTCCCAGAATTCCTCAGCCAGCTTTGCAACCTGGCAACTTTAAGACTTGTGGACTTCAACTCCCAGAATTCCTCAGCCAGCTTTGCTTTGCTGAGGAATTCTGGGAGTTCAAGTCCACAAGTCTTAAAGGGGCCAAGGTTGAGGACCCCTTAATTAGAGAGTTGAGCTTACGCAATGACTTACAACAGTTCATTTAGTGACCGTTCGAAGTTACAACGGCACTGAAAAAAGTGATTTATGACCATTTTTCACACTTACGACCGTTGTAGCCTCCCCCATGGCCAGGTGATCAAAATCTGGATGTTATTTGTAGAAATATTACAAAAATGTCTCCGTTCAATGGCTATTTACTAAAATTACTAAGAAATGTACTAATCTCATATTATCAGAAGAAGAGAAAATCAATCAAGGAAAGCTATTATGTGGAATACGGAACTACAGAAATTCATTGTTATTGATGATTTGTAAATATAAACCCAGACAACCCGCTGTTTACCAAATATTAATGATGGTTATGTTAAAAACAAAATAAAAAAATATATTTTAAAAAAAAATTCGGATGTTTGGCAACTGGCATGTATTTATGACGATTGCAGTGCCCCAGGATCATGTGATCACTTTTTGCGACTTTCCGACAAGCAATGGGGAAGGCAGATTTACTTAACCACCGCAGTGATTCATTTAACGACCGTGGTATGAAAGGTTGTAAAATGGGACAAAATTCATTTAACAACTGTCTTGCTTAGCAATGGAAATGTTGGGCTCCATTATAGTCATCATCATCATAACAACAACAACAATAATAAAGTTGGAAGGGACCTTGGATGTCATCTAGTCCAACCCCCTGCTCAGGCAGGAAACCCTATACCATTTCCGACAAATGGCTGTCCAGTTTCTTCTTAAAAACTTCCAGTGTTGGAGCATTCACCGCTTCTGGAGGCAGGTGGTTCCACTGATTAATTAGAATAGAATAGAATAGAGCTGGAAGGGACCTTGGAGGTCATCTAGTCCAACCCCCTGCTCAGGCAGGAAACCCTGTACCATTTCGGACAAATGGCCATCCAGTCTCTTCTTAAAAACTTCCAGGGTTGGAGCATTCACCGCTTCTTGTGGCAGGTTGTTCCGCTGGTTAATTGTTCTCACTGTCATAAGTTGGGGACTACTTTGGACTCCACTCTTCCTCTACTGCAGGCCCATACAACCTGACGCCTGGAGGCTTCTTCTAATCTCTTACAACCTGTGGTACAACCTGCAAACCTTGACCAAAAGTCACGACAGGTAACCCTTGGCTTACGGCCAAACCTGGCAGCAAAATTTACTTTATTAAGCAAAGTAGTTGTTGACTGAGCCACACCCAATTTTACAATTTTTTTTTTTCTCCCACGGTCGTTAACCTTTCCCCGACGACTTTGCTGGTCAGAGACCACCTGGGAAGGTCCCAAATGGTGATCGCGCAACCCAAGATGTTGCCACTGTTGTACAAATCCACGCTGGCTGCCGAGAGCCCAGATTTTGCTGTTGTGGGAACGCTGCGACCACCACGAATGCAAGGACCGGTCGTAAGTCAGTTTATTTTTTACTGCTGTTGTAACTCTGAACGGTGGCTAAAGGGATGGTGGTCAGTAAGAGCTGTAGCTGTTTTTCTCCTGATCTTTCTCAGTTTTGGGAAGGTGAGTCCCGGGACGCTGTCAAAGACCAAATGTTGCTTGGAAAAGTCTTACAAGGACTTACTGATGCTATTCAGGATCTCCTCTCTGTAGGCGTAGCAGAAGGCGGGGGTGGAATTAAAAGAGGGATAAGCCTAGAATCCCTACATAGTCACAAATTCCGCTGACCCTTATCTAAATCCAAGCAAGGGCTAACCTTAAGTTAAGAAGATAATAAACAATAAATAATAATAATAATAATATAATAAACTGATAATAAATCAGTTTAATTGGACCTTCTCATAGCCACAAATTCCGTTGACCCTTATCTAAATTGGGTATGTCTAGTCTAATGAAGAGAAGGATGAGGGGGGACATGATAGCAGTGCTCCAATATCTCAGGGGCTGCCATAAAGAAGAGGGAGTCAAGCTATTCTCCAAAGCGCCTGAAGGCAGGAGAAGAAGCAATGGATGGAAACTCATCAAGGAGAGAAGCAACCTGGAACTAAGGAGAAACTTCCTGACAGTTAGAACAATTAACCAGTGGAACTCCTTGCCTCCAGAAGCGGTGAATGCTCCAACACTGGAGGTTTTTAAGAAGAGACTGGACAGCCATTTGTCTGAAATGGAATAAGGTTTCCTGCCTGAGCAGGGGGTTGAACTCGATGACCTCCAAGGTCCCTTCCAACATTATTATTGTTGTTATTATTAATCAAGGAGAGAAGCAACCTGGAACTAAGGAGAAACTTCCGGACAGTTAGAACAATTAACCAGTGGAACAACCTGCCTCCAGAAGCTGTGAATGCTCCAACACTGGAAGTCCTTAAGAAGAGACTGGACAGCCATTGGTCTGAGGTTTCCTGCCTGAGCAGGGGGTTGGACTAGATGACCTCCAAGGTGCCTTCCAACTTTATTATTATTATTATTATTATTGTTGTTGTTGTTGTTGTTGTCGTTGTTGTTAAATCCAAGCAAGAGCTAACCTTAAGTTAAGAAGATATAATAATAATAATAGTAGTAAAGTTGGAAGGGACCTTGGAGGTCATTTAATCCAACCCCCTGCTCGGGCAGGAAACCCTACACCATTTCGGACAAATAGCTGTCCAGTCTCTTCTTAAGATAATAAATAATAAATAATAATAATATAATAAACTGATAATAAATCAGTTTAATTGGACCTTCTCATAGCCACAAATTCCCCTGACCCTTATCCAAATCCAAGCAAGGGCTAACCTTAAGTTAAAAGGATAATAAATAACAATAATATAATAAACTGATATTAAATCAGTTCAACTGGACCTTCTTCTCATGTCTGGACCCATGTTCCACACCTCACAGTTCCCAAGTAGGCTGCTTGCTTTGAGGTTGGGGAAGGACGCAGCTCAAGACTTGAGGACACAACACGTCAGAAAAGGACTCACCTCTCTTTTCCACGTGCCCCTCGCTGGAGGGCAGTAGGGCCACCCCTACGCCCTGCCGGGAGCGAATTGTGAGGGCAACTGCCACAGGCCTCTCACAACATGGCACCCTCACAACATGCCTTCACCGTGATGCAGGCACACAGCAGACACAATTTCAGAGAGAGGCGAACTTTGCAAGCTCTGATTCACTGCCTATCCTGGCTCACCACCGCAAGCAACTTTTGCTTTGCAACCAAGAGTAGGACGAGTCCTGCAAAATCTCAAACTGGCACTGGAGTTTCCATCTCTTGAGGTGGACGATAAGGAGAACCAGGACTTTTGGGGAGAAGAGGGAGCGTGGAGGAATTACTGACAGAAAATCAGGATGCAAAACTCTTTCCCTTACCTCCGGTCGTTTCTCTTCCTCCTGAACAGTTTTTTGGTGTGTGCAATTTCTGCTTCGTGTGGCAATGGCTGACCACCCTGGGATAAAATGGGGGGGGGGGGAGAAAGGTGGTTGTAAGTTCAATGAGAAGAACCAGAGAATATTCACAATTATGGCAAGGAGCAGGAGGTGACTATCCCTGGCCTTCCAGGGTTCAGGCAAACCGCTCGTTTTAATTTTTTCCTAAGAGTTTCTAGAGCAGTGTTTCTCAACCTTGACAATTTTAAGGCATGTGGACTTCAACTCCCAGAATTCCACAGCCAGCATTGCTGGCTGTGGAATTCTGGGAGTTGAAGTCCACATGCCTTAAAATTGTCAAGGTTGAGAAACAATGCTCTAGAGCAAAATAAGCTTATGATGGTTACAGGCAGAATCACCCGCTGTTCATACAATCAAGCGCAGTGTGAAAAAAAGCTATTGCTTCAAAGCTTTAAGGACCCAGCATATCATGCGGTGGGAGTCAAGCTATTCTCCAAAGCAGCTGAAGGCAGGAGAAGAAGCAACAGATGGAAACTCATCAAGGAGAGAAGCAACCTGGAACTAAGGAGAAACTTCCTGACAGGGAGAACAATTAACCAGTGGAACCACCTGCCTCCAGAAGTTGTGAATGCTCCAACACTGGAGGTTTTTAAGGAGAGACTGAACAGCCCTTTGTCTGAAACGGTATAGGGCAGGGGTAGGCAACCTTGGCTCTTTTAGGACTGGTGGACTTCAACTCCCAGAATTCCCGAGCCAGCCTGGCTCAGCTTGGAAATCTCTCTCTTTCCCCTCAGCATGGCTGGCTCAGGAATTCTGGGAGTTGAAGTCCACCAGTCATAAAAGAGCCAAGGTGCCCTATCCCTGGTATAGGGTTTCCTGCCTGAGCAGGGGGTTGGACTAGATGACCTCCAAGGTCCCTTCCAACATCATCATCATCATCATCGTTGTTGTTATTATTATTATTATGGATCATCGCACAGTCAGCCAGATGTTCAGGCTGGATTTGGCATTTTGTCTACCTATCGAGTCCTTACCCAGGACCTGGGATAGGCAGATGAGAATGTTTGATGGTATTACAGATATCGTCGCAGGATGGAAGCAGTTCCTTGTAAGGCCACCTTTTGCAATTGACTAATAGCGAATTTGTCAATGCCAATGGTGTTCAAGTGGTGCTCCAGCTGTTTTGGGATTATTATTATTAGTATTAGTAGTATTATAAATGTAATGCATCCATGGCCCTTGCAAAGTATTCTGGGAATTGAAGTCCAAAGGAACTTAGATTGTGGATGTCTGGATTAGCCTTTTCAAACTCTGCTATTCATCCCAAACTACTGTGATAGGGAAATGCCTTCCATCTGCGGACAGTATCCCTAGGTGTCAATTTTCCCAGGTAGACCAAAACAGGAAACTTAATCAGATGAGTTAATTCTCCTTTACGTAAGGCTAATTAACAGAATCTTGCAAATCTGAAAGTACAGATCTCTTTTTTTTACAAAGCCTGATAAGTTAGGGAGAATCCTTTCTCAAACTGCATCAAGTCTGATCAGATGGCAGGAGATATCTTTTACATTTCTGTAGACTGGCAGAAGCATCTGGAGAGTCCCTTTGAGAACAAAATGTAGGACCAACAGGTAGTAGTAGTAGTAGTAGTAGTAGTAGTAGTAGTAGTAGTAGTAGTAATAATAATAATAATAATAATGTTGGAAGGGACCTTGGAGGTCATCTAGTCCAACCCCCTGCTCGGGCAGGAAACCCTACACCATTTCGGACAAATGGCTGTCCAGTCTCTTCTTAAAAACCTCCAGTGTTGGAGCATTCACCGCTTCTGGAGGCAGGTTGTTCCACTGGTTAATTGTTCTCCCTGTCAGGAAGTTTCTCCTTAGTTCCAGGTTGCTTCTCTCCTTGATGAGTTTCCATCCGTTGCTTCTTGTCCTGCCTTCAGGCGCTTTGGAGACGAGCTTGACTGCCTCTTCTTTGGGGCAGCCCCTGAGATACTGGAACACTACTATCATGTCCCCCCTTGTCCTTCTCTTCATTAAACTAGACATACCCAATTCCAGCAGCCTTTTCTTATATGCTTTAACCTCCAGTCCCCTGATCATCTTTGTTGCTCTTCTCTGTACCCTTTCCAGAGTCTCAACATCTTTTTTACATCGTGGTGACCAAAACTGGATGCAGGATTCCAAGTGTGGCCTTATCAAGGCCTTGTAAAGTGGTATTAACACTTCAGGTGATCTTGATTCTCTCCCTCTGTTAATGCAGCCCAGCACTGTGTTGGCCTTTTTGGCAGCTGCAGCACACGGCTGGCTCCTATTTAGGTGATTGTCCACTAGGACTCCGAGGTCCCTCTCACAGTTGCTACTATTGAGCCAGGTACCCCCTATACTATACCTGTGCATTTGGTTTTTCTCGCCTAAATGTAGAACCTTGCTTTTTTCACCACTGAATTTCATTTTGTTAGATAGCGCCCAGTGTTCAAGTCTGTCCAGTTGTGTTGTTTTTTTTTCCAACTGACCTTTTATCAGCATAATACAGTTCTGATTGCCTTAGAGGCAATCTGAACGTTACACGAGATATTTTAAGATGGTTTAATCCTGTAACAGACTGAGCACAATTGAACCCCGATATTGAATTCCATGAACTTATTGACTTAGTATACTTCTGTGCTGCATTCCAGTGTTAAATGTCTTGGTGAGAGGCACATAATTGGAATAAGATAATAGTAATAGTAGTAGTAAAGTTGGAAGGGACCTTGGAGGTCATCTAGTCCAACCCCCTGCTCAGGCAGGAAACCCTACACCATTTCGGATAAATGGCTGTCCAGTCTCTTCTTAAAAACTTCCAGTGTTGGAACATTTACTGCTTCTGGAGGCAGGTTGTTCCACTGATTAATTGTTCTCACTGTCAGGAAGTTTCTCCTTAGTTCTAGGTTGAAAGGCAACTAGGTAAAAAGGCAAGGGAACGACTTACAATAAATCAAAGCGTTCAATATAAAACGAAAGTGAAATTTGGATTTTTAAAAGACGAGGGTGGGACGGAAAAACATTCATGAGCACCATTCACACAACTGTGGCCTGGGTTAGCCAGTATCTTCAGCAGCAAGACTTAATTTTAAAAGCCTCTCTCCGATAGCGTTTCAGAAATTGGAGCCATTCCTGCAGAGGATGTTTGCTTGCAATTAATGCAAATGACAATTTGCAAGAGGCCTACAAGTCTGGAGCCCCTCAGAATGGCTGTCTACTTTGGCTCGCTCATAAGGGCCATCCCAAGCGGAGATACCAACTCCACGCTAGCTGCTCTTCGTGAAGAATAAATCCCTCTTGTCCAAACTGCGTGCCTGGCTGAGGAATTCTGGGAGTTGAAGTCCACAAGTCATCAAAGGGCCAAGTTGGAAGACTCCTGATCTAGACCAGTGTTTCTCAACCTTGACAATTTTAAGGCATGTGGACTTCAACTCCCAGAATTCCACAGCCAGCATTGCTGGCTGTGGAATTCTGGGAGTTGAAGTCCACATGCCTTAAAATTGTCAAGGTTGAGAAACACTGATCTAGACCAATGTTTTTGAAACTTGACCACTTCAACAGGGCCCGGACTTCAACTCCCAGAATTCCTCAGCTGGGGAACTCCACACTATTTAAGCTCGCCAAGTTTGGAAAACGGTGGTTTGGGGTTTTTTTTTTTTTTGACTGCATCCTGTGGATGCCCCTGCATGACCTACCTCAACGGAAACCCCAACAGGACACGGATTCAGCGTTTGCTCTCAGATGCAAGGAAATGGATTTTTTCCGGGAGCCACGTTGATAAAAGGATCTCACCACTTTGTGAGGCTGTGTGTGTGTGTTTGTGTGTGTATTAATGTGTGGGCCATCTGCGTGGGAGAAGATCTATTCAGCACCTGAGCACCAAGGTTTCCCTGGAAACAAGGCTGTGAGGATCATGGTTAAGTCCAAACCGAAGCTATTTTTTACTCCTGCTTTTGCAACTGGAGGCAGCTGCAGTAGTATTTGGAGATGTTTATTATCTTTCGTAGCCATGGCTTGCTCAAACAATCCTAGATAACTTGGGGGGGAAGGGCAACGTGGTAATCTCCCTCTGACTCGTCCAGCCCTGCACGGTAATCCACATCAGGAAATGGACTCTGCTAGAAACACAGTACTAGCCCTCTACTGATATCCCAAAATGATTTTTTAAGAGGCCACTGGATTTCCTTGTTTTTCTTTGAAGACATTTCACTTCTCCTCCAAGAAGCTTCTTCAGCTCTGACCGAGCAACGTGGTACATGGAGTACATTGCAGTCAGCCATGTGCAGATCTGTACATTTGGGCAACGAAACAACCACTTCATAAACATCTGGCACAGCATAGGAGAACAAGCCCATAAGGACAAGAGTCAGCTGTCCATCTGCATTTAAAGGACAAAGGCCGCTCTTTGGAAGACAGCAAAGTCCACATATTGGACAGAGAGGACCACCGGTTTGAAAGGGGGCTCCAAGAAGCCATCTAGGTCAGTGTTTCCCAAACTTGACAATTTTAAGGCATGTGGACTTCAACTCCCAGAATTCCACAGCCAGCGTTGCTGGCTGTGGAATTCTGGGAGTTGAAGTTCACATGCCTTAAAATTGTCAAGTTTGGGAAACACTGATCTAGGGCAACACTGAACAGCCCTCCCTCAACAGAGGGGGAGGGATAGGACATCATCCATCTCCAGTCTACAACACGGTCCTTTCAGCAGTTCCAAGAAGGCTCCACGTCCATTTGCACCACTCAGGTGACCCTGAGGACACAGATAAACCTCCAAGTGGCCTCAATGACTCTCCAAAAGGATGCAAATGACCAGCTGTCTGCAAGGAGTATAAATCTTTCCATTTCTCACTATCCAGTCAGAGCTGAAGAAGCTTCTTGGATAAAAACAGAAAAGTCCAGTTGCCTCGTGAAAAAGCATGTTTGGGATAACGATGACCTGGACGACTGAGAATCTACATGGACACTCTATTGATGGAGGCCAGGGGTCTCCAAACGTACCAACTATGAGACTTTGTAGACTTCAACTCCCAGAATTC